CCATGGACCAGGTGGATGGCGCAAGAACCAGACAGGCAGCAACAAGAAAATCAGGTCACAAATTCAGCCAAATGTAGGGAGAAAGCCTGTGGTGCCTGGCGCTTCATTCTTAAAAGGATTTCTTAATAGGCTAGTGCCTGCTCCTTCTCTCTCAATTGCTTCTTTCCTCTGAGTTTTATTTCATCACTTTAATAGTACCTCAGTACCAGACGTGTTATTCTTTTTCTGTTAAGATTAACTTTTGCTTAATTGATTAGTTCAATTATTTTGTATTAAAGATGCAATATTTAAAGAGTCAAGTAATTCTGATGGGTTTATTGTAACCATTTTCCCAAGCAGCAATCCTTTGTAATCTCTGTTCCTCCATTTTTCCTGCTTTTTAGAAGTAACCACTTTCACCTCTTTTGGCTGATTCCTTGATATTTACCTGCATGTCCTTCAATAAGACGCTTTATTGTTCAGGGTTGGTCTTCCCCCTGTGGCAGGTAAGTAATTTAGCTGTCCTGCTCTCTCCCCCAACTTCGTCATACACAGGCCCCCTTCCTAAAATCCTGTCTTCTCAGTGTAATTAATATCATAATGTTGATTAGATCAGTATTCTTCATTTATATTATTATTATTTTTGACATAGGGTCTTCCTCTGTCACCCAGGCTGGAGTATAGTGGTGTGATCACAGCTGTACTGCAGCCTGACCTCCTGGGCCCAAGTGATCCTCCTACCTCAGCCTCCCAAGTACATGATCACAGGCAGGCTCCACCAATGCACCTGGCTAATTGAAAAACATTTTTTTTTGTAGTGGTGGGATCCCCCTGTGTTGCCCAGGCTGGTCTTAAACTACTGGTCTGATGTGATCCTTTTACCTAGGCCTCCCAAAGTGCTAGGATCACATAGGTGGGCCACCGCATCCAGCCTTCGTTTATATCATTGTATGTTTGTGTATTATTAAGAGCTAAGCCTTGTAGCAAAACTGTGGCTCCATTATTATTTCTGTACATGTTAATTTTTTTCTTGGATGGAGTTACTAATTGTCTTACGCTTTGTTTTTTTTTCCCATTTGCTTGTCCTTTTGGATCTTGATTTTGCATTAGCGGCTTTCTAAGGGTACCTGGAAGCTTGCGTGCAAGCATTCAGGAGCAGGGCACTGAAATATGAATCAGAAGCTGTGAATACATTTGGAGGGCTTGTCAGCCATCAGCTTCACCATAGACTCATTTCTTAAGCTGGTCCCCTTCTTTCAGTCTCTTGCCTAGACAGTGAAAGCCTGGCTGCCACCCTTCTAGAACAAAATAAGGGAGGACGGCTGGTGGCCTCAGCATCCTATGTGCATGTATTCATCTAGTTCCATTCACGTACCTTCAACTGTGCCATTCCTCCTCCAGCACCACAGCTGCCAGTTCAGAGGCTCTCCCTTTAGTCTTTCTGGAAAACAAACTTCCAGTTATTTGTTGGGGTACATGTGGGATGGGCAAATAGCCCAGGTGTGCAGGGTGGGGGAGAACATCTATGGATCTGGCCACTTCTTAGATGTGCAGCCAGGCCTGCTTAGTTTAGCATTTCCTCTACCCTAGAGCCTTTTGGAGCTTCTAAGGGGTAAAAAATGAGGTGGGTCTTATCTTTCCCCACTGCCAACTTAGGATTCAGGTCTGGATTCAGGTCTGCTGTGTCGTTTGTCACTCTTCCATCTGCGTTCTAGCTTCCAATATTCTGCAGCAATTGTCTCCCGCTTTATTCTCTCTGTCCTTGTTGGTTCGTGTCTTTAGAATAGAAATTCTTTTACTGTTCCTGAATGGAGTTTGGGGAGGAAGTAAAGGTGGCCTCGGCCTCATACATTTAAACTTCTCTTTTTACCTGAAAGCCTCACCATTGCTGCTTATTTACTGAACTGCCAAGGGTCTGAATTTTTAACAAGGAAATTCTAATGGTTCTTGGTAAACTCTAACATTTACTTCAGAGAAGGAATGACAGACCACAGCCCTTTGATTAAGAAAATGTGTTTTTTTTTTAGTTTTTTTTTTTTTTTTATGCCAGAGCCTTTCAAAAGATTTAGTTCCTTACCCATAACTTCCTCCTCCTTCTTCCATCTGCACACTCCTTTCTACCTGCTTCAACTCTCATTGTGTTTCCAGTAGAAAATGAAAGCTTTTATGGCGCAGTCATGGGAGGCATTGGGTTCCAGGGAATGTAGGTAGTTATGGGAAGACAGAAAAATAGGAGAGGTGGAGTCCGTATAGCCCATCGTGTCATATCCATGTCATTCTTTCATCAAGACATCTGTGACTGTCCCTACCTCCTTCTTACTGTCTTGGAATCATAGCAGTGATTCTCTTTGAGGCTGTGGTTTTGCTTCATGCCCAGTAGAAGCTATCACTTGATTGGCTTCAGTGTCTCTGGATTTAATTGTCCCTTTAAGGAGGAGTATGCCTTCAACTTGTTCTTTTTGTTGGAGACCTAGTCTCACCCAGGCTGGAGTGCAGTTGCACGATCTCGGCTCACTGCACCCTCTGCCTCCCAGGTTCAAGCAATTCTCCTGCCTCAGCCTCTCAAGTAGTTGGGATTACAGGCACGTGCCAGCACACCTGGCTAATTTTTGTGCTTTTGGTAGAGATGGGGTTTCACCATGTTACCCAGGCTGGCCTCGAACTCCTGACCTCAAGTGATCCACCCACCTCGGCCTCCCAAAGTGCTGGAATTGCAGCCACAGCTCCTGGCCTACCTTCAACTTCTTAGCTACAAAGAAAGGGGTCTCAAGAGCGGCCATTGTGGCTCCAGAAGCAGGGCACAGCTTCCAGGCAGGTTGGAGAGAATGGCTGGCTCTGGGGGTGTCCAGTTCTGACCATGTCCTTTTGTGTCTCTCTTTCAAGTAACTCCCTTCATGGCTTCCAAACTTGAATCTCACCAAAGTATTATTTATTTTTAACTAAGTCCTACCTTCCTGAGTTCAGAATTTGTTTTGAGATAGACAAAGGAACTGTGCACATGGAGATCAAAATCTAATCTCTATTCTTGGTTTTTACTGGTAAAGCACTTTAAAAAATGTCGTGTTAGGTCTACCGGCCAGTAGGGGCATGTTAATATTTCAGCTCGGAATTTGACATCCGATCACGGACCACATTGGACAACCATAGGCCAGTTTGGTCAGTGATTGGATGTCAGATGTGTTTAAACCTCTAAAACTTAAGGCAAGAAAAAGAACGATAGCTGTTTCTCTGAAGGAGGGTGTGAAGGGCCGGAAGAGATTTGTGCTAACAGAAGCTCCTCCCTCTGGGAGCATGAGGAGATGAGAAACGTGTTCCGTAACAGAAGGTGATATCCCATAGCAAAGACATTGGGTCAACTTAAATGCCTATCGATGTTAGACTGAATAAAGAAATGCGGTACATCTACACCGTGGAATACTGTGCAGTCATAAAAAAGAATGAGATAATGTCCTTTGCAGCAATATGGATGGGGCTGGAGGTCATTATCCTAAGTGAACTAACACAGCATCAGAAAACCAAATACTGCACGTTCTTACCTATAGTGGGAGGTGAACACTGAGTACACACGGATACAAAGAAGGGAACAACAGACACCAGGGCCTACTGGAGGGTGGAGGGTGGGAAGAGGGTGAGGACAGAAAAGCTACCTATCAGGCTGGGCACAGTAGCTCAAGCCTGTAATCCCAGCACTTCAGGAGGCCAAGGTGGGAGGACTGCTTGAGCCCAGGAGTTCAAGACTAGCCTGAGCAACATAGTGAGAACCTGTCTCTCTAAAAAAAAACAAAAACAAAAAAATTAAGCTGGGTGGGTGTGGTGGCATATACCTGTAGTCCCAGCTACTTGGGAGGGTGAGGTGGGAGAATCACTTGAGACATTGGATATTGGGTATACAAGAAGTTGAGCCTGCAGTGAACTGTGATCACACCACTGCATTCCAACCCGGGCAACAGAGCGAGACCCTGTCTCAAAAAAGAAAAACTACCTGTTGAGCACTATGCTTATTACCTGGGTGACAAAATAATCTATACACTAAACCGGCTCCCACCCTGCCCCATGATGCAATTTACCCAAGTTTGTTACACAAACTTACACCTGAACCTAAAATAAAAGTTTAAAAAAGATGATGTCAATTCTTCTTAAGACACATGATTAATGTATAGCAGATGCTCAGAAAAAATACTATGTTAAATCAGGTTGTATGACACATTCAGATTTCAGAAACGTGAAAGTCATTTTTACATCTTAGAAATGAGGAGAGGATAGTGTTATAAGTTATCAGCCATGCATTCCTTTGATAAAAAGCCTCTAAGGTTTGGACCAAGTGGAGAGTACACCCTCAACTGGAATGGGGAGCCCCAGCTCTAATCCCAGTCCTGTTACAAACTAGTTAGTTAGGAGTCCTTGGCTCCGTTGAACCTCTACACCTGCTTTTCATCTGCTCAGCAAGGAGTGGAAGACCAGCTAAACAGATAAAAGGGACTAAGGGTAAGACCTGAACTCCCACAGCTAATTAATTTCAGAGTGGGCGTGAAAACCCAAGTGTCCCCCTTCCCTAGTCTCATGTGTTTAGATTGGCCTGAATTGAATTTGGACAAGATAGTTACAGCACAAAGCAATCATTGCTTTGCTCACTCTTTCACTCATTCAACTGGTATCAATTGAGCATTTTTTAAATGCTAAATACTGTGTTGGATGAATGAGACATATTCTGTCTGTAGGAGCATACAGCCTGCTGTGTGTACAGCTGAGAGGGACCCCTGCACTGCTGCCCTCACGTGAAGGGCTTCAGACTGATCCGTGGAAGAGACCAGACCTTCCTAGTTGCCTTGAAGCCGTCGTCCCTCCTGTGCTTTCCCTGAGACCTGAAGTAGTGCCCTTTCTGCTGACGTGACCGACCGCCAAGAGCTGGCTCTCACCAGCTTATCGCAAAAGCTCTTCAAGTGCCGCAAGAGAGGAAATTACACAGCAGAGCCCAGAATCATATATTGGCCTCATTACGGGTTTTCTCTTCCTGTTTATAGGGTGCTCAAGCTGGTATTACTACGTAACCATGCCGATGCCAGCCTCCACCTTCACAATTGCAGTGGGATGCTGGACAGAAGTGAAGATGGAGCCGTGCTCATCGGGTGATCCGGCAACAGAGACACCCTTCTCACCTTCTGAGGCCGACTTCAGGTTTGTGTGGGGGGACTTGCTGGGAAGGGAAAAACACTTGAGGGAGTGGTATGCTGCATTTCTTCCAAGCACTGGGAATGTGAGTCACTCCTGCTGAGAAACTAAACCAAAATAGGATTAATCAAAGCAGGAAAAGCCCCGTTAGAAAGGAAAGAGAGGGCCGGGCGCAGTGACTCACGCCTGTAATCCCAGCACTTTGGGAGGCCGAGGCGGGTGGATCACGAGGTCAAGAGATTGAGACCATCCTGACCAACATGGTGAAACCCCATCTCTACTAAAAATACAAAAAAATTAGCCAGGTGTGGTGGCGGATGCCTATAGTCCCAGCAACATGGGAGGCTGAGGCAGGAGAATGGCTTGAACCCGGGAAGCAGAGGTTGCAGTGAGCTGAGATTGTGCCACTGCAATCCAGCCTGGAGACAAACTGAGACTGTCTCAAAAAAAAAAAAAAAAAGAAGAAGAAGAAAGAGAGGCTGGGCGCCGTGGTTCAGGCCTATAATCCCCCACTTTGGGAGGTTGAGGTGGGTGGATCACGAGGTCAGGAGTTCAAGACCAGCCTGGCCAACATGGTGAAACCCCATCTCTACTAAAAATATAGAAATTAGCCAGGCATGGTGACACCTGTCTGTAATCCCAGCTATTTGGGAGGCTGAGGCAGGAGAATTGCTTGAACCTGGGAGGCAGAGGTTGCAGTGAGCCGAGATTGCGCCATTGCACTCCAGCCTGGCGACAGAGCGAGACTCTGTCTTGGAAAAGAAAGGAAAAAGTGTTGAGAAGAAGAGATGTGAGCCTATTATTTATGCAGAAAGAGAGAAGAAGGTAAGTATATATGAAATCCTGTGAAGTGTGCTGAAATATTTATATGTGTTTGGCTAAATTCAAGGAATCCTCAGATTCAATGCCTCCTCTCCTCCCATGACTTTTAGGTTTGGTTTTCGGTGCTTATGTGGTCAAAAACAAAGCTGCTGATGGATTACTTTCTATGCTACTCTGCTGTGTTGGTTGTACCGACTGCTGTCAGCGGTGCACTGTGGGGACAGCAGCTCCCTCAGTGGGGCTAGTTGCTGCTTTAGGAGCACAGGACACAAGGAAACTGATGCAAAGCCCTTGGGTTAAGGGAATCCTGCTTGGTCAGGGCTTTGTTAACATCAGTAGTGATTTCTTTTAAGTATGAACCAGATAAAATCATTTTGAGGCTTTAAAAAATTAGTATAGGCCATTGGATATTTACTGGCAGCCTGTCTAGATGTTCAATGGTTTCTAGCTTTGAGAGCCAAAAGAGGGAGAAGGAGGCCGCCGAGAAGATGCACAGCACATGCATCATGCAGCGCTCCTAGGATTTTATACCCAGCTCAACGGAGTCGTTTTTCCTATTGACAGACGGTCGCTAAGTCAGTACCTTCTGGTGGAGAAAGCCCAGAGTAATGGTAGAGGTGATTCATTACTCCTTGAAAACCAGCTAAGATACGCTCCTAATGCAGATTCTTTTTGTGTTGGTTTTATTTTGCCTTGCTGCTTTTACAAGTACCACAGTAACTGCGGCCGTTGGTCTTCATCTTTCAGAGATGACGCTATGTTCTCTCTCTTCCGGTGGGCACGTATTATTGCCGTGTTTTGCCTTTCAGAGATGAAGCTGTGTTCTCTGTCTTCCGGTGGGCACGTATTATTGCCGCATTTTGCCTTGTTTGGCAGAAGGGAAGTCATTTCCACTTCTGTTCAGTAGCTTGCCTAGTTTGGACTGTCTTCCCTGAGCTATATGAACAGCCTAGATTGCGTATTAGATTTTACTTCTGTATTCTTGAGGGAAGAAGGGAATTGTGGGCAGAAGTGACATATGCTAGTTTCATGTGGGAACTGTAATTTCGTGTGAGATCCTCCCGTGCTCTCTTCCCTGCAGTAGGATCACACAGGAGGCTTTGTTCTGTAATTTCAGGGGGCCTGAATTTCCGGGTGAGGATGACAGGTGCTCTGGAGAGCCGCTTAGATCTGCAGTGGACTTGGTATTAGCAAGAAGCGCACTGTTTTGTGTGAAGCCACTGAAACACCAGGGTTGTTTGTTACTGCAGCATATCCTAGGCTATCCTGAATTGATACAGTAGCCATTGGTTGTTCCAAGTCAGAAACTAAGTCTTGATCTAAATGTAATCTCCTTTAGTCCTAAGGATAGGCCTGCAAGACAGATTGGATAGATTATTATTCCCATTTTATAGATAAGGCTGTTGAAGCTCGGATAGTAACTTGTTAACATTAATATACCTACTAAGGAGCAATACCTGGATTTATATCCAGGCCTGACCGCAGAGAGAGGTGAGTCAGAATCTTACCTGGAGACTTTAAAAAACTGTATGTAACATTGATGCCTCACATGGAGTCTGATCCACCTTCCCATCTGGAGAGTCACTGCCATGATTTGAGCCACCATGATTGACGGGAGTGTGTTGTGTTGGAACAGAAAACGGAAGTCGAGAGCAATGCCTTTGAGCTTGAAAGTGCCATTCTTGGTGGTTGGACGTACCTCTTCGGACAAAGCCACACCTTCCTTATCTACAGATGGAGGCTTCGTCCGTGGCTCCTCAGATTCTCGATGGTGACGAAGTACTCTTCTCTTTTTCGTCTAAGGCCTCAGCACTGATTGATTCTTAGAGGAGCTGCTCAGTTGGAAAATGTGTGCCTTTGGAAGGCTAGGGGAAGGCAAGGACAGACATTTGTTATTTTGCCTTTCTAGCCATATTCCAAAGAGATGTGGGGTTGGGGAGTGGGCAGCAGCCACTGACTCTGTGCTCTCTCCTTCCTGCTCAGAAGCAGCTTAAATGGCTTCTCAGTTTTCTTGCATCCACTATTCTGAAAGGAGGAAGAAATGCTTAAATCAAATGAAGATTCTGGGATGTCTAAAATTCCTGTCAGGCTTTCGGGGAAGAAGCAGGTACAACTCCTCTCTTGCCTCCTGAATTCACCAGTTGAGGAACAGAGAGAGGAGATAAAAATAAAGGTTTTATTATTGACAGAAGCTGGACTGAAGGAATGCTCAGGTGCATGGTCTCAGTGGGGTTTCTGAGACTCCATTTCCAAATGAGACAAATTTACCCACCCAGTTACCAGCCCAGCTGGACTGCTGCTGGCCTCTGTAACACAGATGCAGAGTCCACCCGACACATGGCAGGAGCAGGTCCAAAGGGCACCCTCTGTGGGCAGGCAGGTTCGAAAGAGAAAGCCTGTGTGGCCCAGCCAGTCAGGTAAGCTGGGGAGAGAGGTCCGGGTGCCACTCTAGGAAGCGCATCTTTCCATGAAACTGGGAGGCCTGGTGAATGGGGTTCCTCCCATGCCCCCTTCCATGTCTCATAAACTATGAGTTTTCCCTTCCTTTATCAAGATGCTCGTCCTTCAGGAACATGCTGCTGATAAAATCACAGCTTGCATTTGCTTAGTCCTGCCCTGGCTGTGCGCTTCACGTGTGCCGTCTTCAGTTGTCAGAAAGTGGCTTTTTTCATCCATTACGTTTCTGACTCCATGCAAAGTTTGTCAGCAAAGGTGCTCTGAAGTGCCAGTCACAGTGGTGTTTTTTGGTTATGTTCACATCTGGTCCCTTTTGCCTTCTCCAGCACCCGTTCTACTTCAAACCTTCCTAAGACCACCAATCAAATTCGTGTAAATCCAACGTCCACAGGGGCCTGCTATACCACAGGTTTTCGTTTGCCTCAGGTGCTCATGTGGGTTCCAGAAATTTGGCCAAAGTGTTGGTCACTGAACTTTTATGATCGATGTTCATGTGAGTAAAATTATAGTGAGAACGTTCCCTCTTCCAGCTCCACTTTCACACATGCTCCAGCCACTCTGGGTGAGCATTTTAGTAAATACATTGATTATCAGGCTTTCAGATAAGCTGTTGAAAGTTTATTAATTTTATTCAGCTGTAGTATAACCTTCTTCAGCCACAGGGGAATCTTTGTGTTTTATTTCTTTAACCTCTTGAGGTCTTTGTGGGGGCCACACAGTTTAAACATGACACAGAAACTTGGATAAAGTCCAAAGGAACTTAGCAAAAATGATTAAAGGCATGGAAAATGGGCACTACAAAGAAGAAAACGCATTGAGACTGAT